TACCATGATGTGTCAGTGATGGTAGCAGTTACTCTGACACTGGTCTACCATACCATGATGTGTCAGTGATGGTAACAGTTACTCTGACACTGGTCTACCATACCATGATGTGTCAGTGATGATAGCAGCTACTCTGGCACTGGTCTACCATACCATGATGTGTCAGGATGGAGCAGCTACTTTTGACACTGGTCTTAAACCCTACCATGATTGTCAGTGATGGTAGCAGCTACTCTGACACTGGTCTACCATACCATGAATGTGTCAGTGATGATAAGGGAGCTACTCTGGCACTGGTCTACCATACCATGATGTGTCATGGATGGGACAGCTACTCACACTGGGCTACCATACCATATGTTTAGTGATGATAGCAGCTAAATCTGACACTGGTCTACCATACCATGAAGTGTCAGTGATGGTAGCAGCTACTCTGACACTGGTCTTACCATACCATGATGTGGGCAGTGATGGTAGCACTAAATCTGACACTGGTCTACCTACCATTGAATGTGTCAGTGATGGAACAGCTACTCTGACACTGGGCACCATACCATGAATGTGTCAGTGATGGTAACAGTTACTCTGACACTGGTCTACCATACCATGATGTGTCAGTGATGGTAACAGTTACTCTGACACTGGTCTACCATACCATGATGTGTCAGTGATGATAGCAGCTACACTGACACTGGTCTACCATACCATGATGTGTCAGTGATGATAGCAGCTACTCTGACACTGGTCTACCATACCATGATGTGTCAGTGATGGTAGCAGCTACTCTGACACTGGTCTACCATACCATGATGTGTCAGTGATGGTAACAGTACTTTAAGTTCAGTGTAACAAGATGTATATAGTTACTATAGTTAGTGTATCACTGTATGTATAGTTACAATGTATCACTGTATGTATAGTTACAATGTATCACTGTATGTATAGTTACAATGTATCACTGTATGTATAGTTACTATAGTTACAGTGTATCACTGTATGTATAGTTATAATGTATCATTGTATGTATAGTTACAATGTATCACTGTATGTATAGTTACAATGTATCACTGTATGTATAGTTACAATGTATCACCGTATGTACAGTTACTTTACCTACAGTGTATCACATCATATACAGTTACTTTAGTTACAGTGTATCATCGTATATACAGTTACTATAGTTACAGTGTATCATCGTATATACAGTTACTTTAGTTACAGTGTATCATCGTATATACAGTTACTATAGTTACAGTGTATCATCGTATATACAGTTACTTTAGTTACAGTGTATCATCGTATATACAGTTACTATTTGTTACAGTGTATCATCGTATATACAGTTACTATAGTTACAGTGTACCATCGTATATACAGTTACTTTAGTTACAGTGTATCATCGTATATACAGTTACTATAGTTACAGTGTATCATCGTATATACAGTTACTATAGTTACAGTGTATCATCGTATATACAGTTACTTTAGTTACAGTGTATCATCGTATATACAGTTACTATAGTTACAGTGTATCATCGTATATACAGTTACTATAGTTACAGTGTACCATCGTATATACAGTTACTTTAGTTACAGTGTATCATCGTATATACAGTTACTATAGTTACAGTGTATCATCGTATATACAGTTACTATAGTTACAGTGTACCATCGTATATACAGTTACTTTAGTTACAGTGTATCATCGTATATACAGTTACTATAGTTACAGTGTATCATCGTATATACAGTTATTCTATAGTTACAGTGTATCATCGTATATACAGTTACTTATAGTTACAGTGTATCATCGTATATACAGTTACTTAGTTACAGTGTATCATCGTATATACAGTTACTATAGTTACAGTGTATCATCGTATATACAGTTACTTTAGTTACAGTGTATCATCGTATATACAGTTACTTAGTTACAGTGTATCACGTAATATACAGTTACTATTTGTTACAGTGTATCATCGTATATACAGTTACTATAGTTACAGTGTATCATCGTATATACAGTTACTATAGTTACAGTGTATAATCGTATATACAGTTACTATAGTTACATGTAATCATCGTATTACAGTTACTTTATGTACAGTGTATCATCGTATATACATTACTAATAGTTACAGTGTATCTCGTAAAAAATCCAGTTACTTTAGTTACAGTGTATCATCTATATACAGTTACTAAGTACAGTGTATCATCGTATATACCAGTTTACATATTACAGTGGTCTTCTTTATACAGTCACTTTAGTTACAGTGTATCATCGAATACAGTTACTATAGTTACGTGTATCATCGTATATACGTTACTTTAGTTACAGGTATCATCGTATATACAGTTACTTTAGTTACAGTGTATCATCGTATATACAGTTACTATAGTTACAGTGTATCATCGTATATACAGTTACTTAGTTACAGTGTATCCTGTTACTACAGTTACTTTTTTTTACAGTTTATCATCAATAACAGTTTACTTTAGTTTGTGTCTACATCGATAACAGTTTACTTTATAAGTGTATCAGGTAGAATATAGTAACTACTTTTGTTAAGTGTATCATGCCTTGAATATATTAAAAATATCGTATCTTCATTTACAATGAATCACTTAAGATACATTCTTCATCATTATAATTATAGATAGCACTCAGCCATTTATTCACAAATGAATATGTCGTTCCTTTATGTCGTTCCTTTATGTCGTTCCTTTACATACAATAATGGCGTCGTTCCTTTATGTCGTTCCTTTACATACAATAATGGCGTCGTTCCTTTATGTCGTTCCTTTACATACAATAATGGCGTCGTTCCTTTATGTCGTTTCCTTTACATACAATAATAGGCGTCGTTCCTTTATGTCGATCTTACATACAAAAAAGGCGTCGTTCCTTTATGTCGTTCCTTTACATACAATAAAGCGTAGTTCCTTTATGTCGTTCCTTTACATACATAAAGGCGTCGTTCCTTTATGTCGTCCTTTACATACAATAAAGGCGTCTTCCTTTATGTCGTTCCTTTACATACAATAAAGGCTCGTTCCTTTATGTCGTTACCTTTACATACAATAAAGGCGTCGTTCCTTTATGTCGTTCCTTTACATACAATAAAGGCGTCGTTCCTTTATGTCGTTCCTTTACATACAATAAAGGCGTCGTTCCTTTAAAGTATATTTTATTCGGTATTGCTTTATCACCAGAACTACTGCTCTCTGAGCATAAAAATTATTGTCGTTTAAATCTGTAGGTTGCAATATTAGTGAGGTTAGGCAGGTCAGGTTCGTCAGGAAACAGAACAAGTGTTTCCTGACGCCGGTCTTAGTTATATGATGACCTGCAGCTGGAACTTTTGGTCATCTGACCGAGGCCTTACAATGGCTTACCACTCCACCCCTTTAACTATTTTTTTTGTATGTGGTTATCTTTTCCAGATTAAAAATTATTATTGATAATATCTATATATTTTTTAATATCATTAAGGCTATCCTTACTCTTTCTATTTTTATTTATATTTATAATATACAATTAGTTGGTTCATCAATGTGGTTTAATTTGAAGCCTATCGACTGCACTAGTGTCATTAAGGCTGCTCCTCACCTGATCACCAGTTGTCAAGAAAATTGTAATCCCTGAAACAGTGCTTTAAGTAAACTCTCAGTATACGAGTATATACACTAATATACCTGTCTTAGTGTAGTTTAGAAAGACACGTGAGCAAACACTAGGACGTTTTTATTAGAAAACATTTCGATCCTGCGACCTTGATCACTTCTCATTTGGACCGAGAAACGTTTTCTAATAAACATATCCTAGTGTTTGCTTACGTGTCTATCTAAACCAATTTGTGGGTATCTGTTACCAAGGTTTACACCACACCTCTTAGTGTATATATCCCGCGATACAACCGAAGCTGCTACTAGTTAAATAAGGTAACTTCGTTGTTACTAAGCTCCAGTTTTTCAAAAACTAAGACTAGTGTTCTCTGAAATGTTTAGCCTCGGTGTTTATAAGGCGTCAGTGAAATTGTGGTTCTTTGTTTTTTCTTTAGTTACAGAATTTTGCAGAGTACATCTTTACACGCCTAAGTCATTGTGCAGTTTCCTGAATCAGACTCCTACAAAATACTGTTTCTCCTGAAGCTTTGTAAAATGGGACGCCATTATTAGCGCTCTCTGAGCACAGTCATTGGTCATGGATTATTTCGGTCATGTGACTGGCAGATAATGCTAAGACAGACCAGCTTCTCATTAAAAACATCGTTTCGCTCAAGGAGAGCTTTCCGCAGCTTGACATACCTCTCTCTCCTTGATCGAAACATTAAAGCTTACTTTCCTCGAAGTCTAAAGCGCTACCCAAATTTTAAGCGGAAATGATCACACTCTCTAATGACGTCCCTAAGCATCACCATGTTTTTCTAAGCATACATAGTGTCCAGTTTTGTAGATTGATAGCCAGAGTACCAACAGCTACAACCGAATACTGATTTTTATAATGTTGCTTGAGCGAGGGGAAGGAGCATCGCTTGTTTATATTTTTTCGAGGTTGAAGAATGTAGAACTTGACTGTCATCCACCTTCCATCCTCTTTATAAAATATCTTGAGACTCAACTTAGATAATCTTCAAGGAATTTTAAGAGTCGTTGTATATTTTTCTTGCGTATTAAATTCTTGTGCACTCGCGTTATTGAGTAATAATTCCCCTCGTGCGAGGCCGTTATGTTTTGGCAATGTGTTTCTGAGTTGAAATTGGTAAAAAAATTACCAAAATAATGCATAAGTGTTCTTGGTAACGTACACTGGTGTTCTGGTAACGTACGCTAGTGTTCTGGTAACGCATGCTAGTGTTCTGGTAACGTACACTGGTGTTCTGGTAACGTGCACAAATATCTGTAACATTCACACACGCCTTAGTAACATTGTTACACATCCTGGCAAGAGAGTAACAGGGCTGGTAGTTGTTTTATCAAAGACTAACACAAAGACTCACATCTTCCAGTTGTTTCTCCTCCGTGGGAGTGCCATCATCCCGTATCTTAAGACTGACAGCAGGAGTCAAGCAAGTTTTCCCCTTTGGAGCGAGTAACCTGTCAGCAGGGACGGGCAGCAGACACACTTCCCTTCCTTCCTTCCTTACAAGCAACACGCATGCACACTGGCTGTTCCCCGCTGCTTCAACCTCTATATATAAAGTGCGCCACATCCTGCAGAAAGCAGCACTCACTTTTCTTGTGTTAGGGGAGCGGAGTGCTCTCCTGATTCAAGGTTAAGTCTGGTCACATTCACTCTCGCGCATCAACCCAAAAAAAAGTTTTGGGGTTTTCCTAGGTAATTTATACATATTTTACTATGTATGATAATTGTACTTGTGTGTACCTGTACCTAAATAAACTTACTAAGTCACTTTGACTTTTTGTGGGTTATTCTAAGTGATATACACATATGTTGCTATGTATGATAATTTGTATAATTGTATTTATGTGTACCTGTACTTAAATAAATTTACTTAGTAAACCGCCTAACAAAAATTTCCCACGCTCGTGTCACCCATGGCTCCACCCACCCACCCACATCCCGACCACACGCCACCCATCCTTCAGCCACGCTTGATGCCCATGCACCACCGTCTAGCCACCCATACCTTGACTTGTAGTAACCTATGCCACACCCTCTCACACCCAATACTCACGTCATACCTTGTCTTTGCCCACACACTACCCACCTACCACCCACGGCAGACCTCACCACCCACATCCCTCCTTCCCCCTCTCCACAAACCACCTTCCCACCACCCACACCTTAGTCTCCCACCTGTCAGCCATGCTATAAACAAGAGTCAGTTGTTAAGACATGGTACAGACATAACAATGGTAATGTCTGGCTGCTCCTCGTTATAATAATTGTTTCACCAGTCTGTTGTTTGCTGCTTTATGAGGGGAAAGTAACACAGCTGTTTCCTTTTCATCTGTGGATCTTGTGCTAAACACACACACACACACACACACACACACACACACACACACACACACACACACACACACACACCCCACACACACACAAACACACAGGGGAGGGGGCAAAAAAAAACAAGAGGGCCACAAAAGGAAAATTTTTAAAAAAAAAGAGTTTAAAAAAAGGGAGGGAAGTAAAATTTTTTCAGTCCCTAGAGTTTTAAGGCAAAAGGGGAAAATCCCTAGAAAAAGACGTATTTGGGGGCAGGAACCATACACATTTTTTTAAGAACCCATGTTTGGGTAAACTCAGGGAGCGGGGAAAGAGAGGGCCTTTGCAAACCCGGGGAAGAGGGTGGCCCGGACTAGGACCCCGCCCCTGCAAACCCCCAAACAGGTGAAATACAACAAAACACACAACACACGCACACACACACGTGAAGGTTTTCACGGTTGGGGCCGGGGCCCGTGACGGACGTGGGGCCCCCAGGGGTTTTTCCGAAAATGCATTATTTTCAGATATTTGAAAATTAATGAGTTTGAATTAAAACAGATGCGGGATCCAACCCTCAAAAAAGAGACCCGGCCCGGCGGGGCACCCCATTCCAGCAACAACTCCTATAAGTTTAAATCCGCCAAATTTCAAATTCCCTGAAGAAACGGGGGGGCAAAAAAGAACCCGCAGACGGATATAGGCCCCAGGGGGGGCCCAAAAACTGCAAACCTCACTCAAGGAGAAAGAAACGGGGGTGATTATAACACCGAAAAACTCGCCCGGAAGCCCCACATCCCAAACCAAATTAAATGCTGGCCCCAAAATATGGGGGGCCCGGGAAAAACCCGAGAATAGGGGTTCCGAAACCTCATTTTAAAGGAAATTTGTTTTAAGACCGTACACGGCACTCAGGGCCATAGTGGAGTACGCAGCACCAGTTTTTGGGAAACCCCCACCTGGGCAAGCACATTAAAAATTTGAGAAAATGCAAAAGGGTTTTTAACAAAAGGGTATTCCAGAGCTAAGGGGATTGGGCCTCCGAAGAAAGGTTAAGGGGAAAATTTGGGCTGACACACTGGAGGGGCAGGAGGGCAGGGAGACATGAAAACACATACAAAATACTCGTGGAATGATAATTGGGCAGACGGGTGTTCCAGTGAGGGACACAGAAAAAAAGGGTCCCCCAATTGAAGTTGAAAACTCAGATAGCCAAAGGGATGTTTTTGAATATTTCTTTACCACAGGTTGTTAGGAAGTGGAAAGTCTGGCAAATTAGGTAGTGGAGGGGAGGAACCAACATATTTTTTAAAAAACAATTTTTGAAAAACTCATGGGCCCGGAGGAAAGGGGGGCCCCCGTACGATCATGAAGAGTTCCCCGACCCCTTTAACCACATATTTTTTTAGGCCCCACCACAAACAAACATCATAAAGGCATTATCTTTTAGAAAGGGAAGAGAAAAACCCTCACAAAGTAGAAGTATTAACCCCGACCTCCATTTTAACTGGGCCACTAATAATCACACCTGGAAAACTTGAAAAATTTAAAAACCTTTGGGGAGTTTGAGAGAGTCACTGTTTTTCAGGGTCTTACTGAGAGTGGGGTTCCAAACTCTTGACAATTGATTTATTTAAACCCCTGGCACTGATTAATATTTCTTGAAATTGAAAATGTCCCTGGGTAATTAAAAGACTGAAAATTTTTTTTTGATTTAGAAATTTGGGCTTATAAATATATAATTGTCAACTTTAAGAAAAAACCAATTAGAAAAATGTTATTGTTTTTTTACAGTCAACCCACAAGATTGTGGTCACAATCACGTACACGGGTTTTTGGTCACAAACACGTACATAACAGGACGCAACATTTTCCTCGTTCAGACATAAAGCATTTTTTTTTACTCAGTACATGAACACCCTTGTCGACACTGTCATTATGTTCGGCTCTGAGAGCTAATGTGGTGATGTTGTCAACTTTATGAAAGGATAACGTTAGGTCTGGTAAGGTTTGCCAGGAAGTAGAGAGAGAGATATTGTGAAATTAACTATTGTAATAATGTTGGTAGAATTACCGACAACATGTGAGGTAAAAGGACACAAGTGCAACTAATGCCACAAAGCTCCTGGAGAGCGAAACGTTTCCACAGTAAAATGTCGCATTAGTTGCACTTGTGTCCTTTTACCTAACAAATAAATAAACGTAGGTAAAGGAAATCTTTGAAAAATATTAAGTATTTTTAGATATGTCATAGATTAGTCATAGACACACACGGTAACCTTATAGCAACACTCTATATATTATCAACTTCTGACTTACGGTAGTGTATGTATATATATGCTCGAGTGTATGTCTTATTTATAATATATATAGTTATATATATATATATATATATATATATATATATATATATATATTATATATATAATATATATTATATATATATATTATATATATATATATATATATATATATATATATATATATTATATATAGGTAGTAGGTTGGTAGACAGCAACCACCCAGGGAAGTACTACCGTCCTGCCAGATGACTGTGAAACAAAAACCTGTAACTGTTTTGCATGATGGTAGGATTGCTGGTTTCTTTTTCTGTCTCATAAACACGCTAAGATAACAGGGATATCTTGCTACTCCTACTTACACTTTTGTCACACTTCACAGACACGCACATGCATATATATATATACATACATCTAGGTTTTTCTCCTTTTTCTAAATAGCTCTTGTTCTTTTTTATTTTCATTCTATTGTCCATGGGGAAGTGGAAAAGAATTCTTTCCTCCGTAAGCATGCGTGTCGTATGAGGCGACTAAAATGCCGGGAGCAATGGGCTAGTAACCCCTTCTCCTGTATACAATTACTAAAAAGAGAAGAAGAAAAACTTTTAAAACTGGGTTGCTTTAAATGTGCGTGGATGTAGTGTCGGATGACAAGAAACAGATGATTGCTGATGTTATGAATGAAAAGAAGTTGGATGTCCTGGCCCTAAGCGAAACAAAGCTGAAGGGGGTAGGAGAGTTTCAGTGGGGGGAAATAAATGGGATTAATCTGGAGTATTCTGAGAGAGTTAGAGCAAAGGAAGGGGTAGCCAGTAATGTTAAATGATCAGTTATGGAAGGAGAAATAGAGAATATGAATGTGTAAATTCAAGAATTTGTGGATTAAAGTAAAGGTTGGATGCGAGAAATGGGTCATAATAAGTGTGTAAAGCCCCTGGAGAAGAGAGGAATGCAGAGGAGAGAGAGAGATTTTGGGAGATGTTAAGTTTAATGTATAGGAGCCTTTGAACCAAGTGAGAGGTAATTGTGGTAGGGGACTTGATTTCTAAAATAGGAGAAACTTTTAGAGAGGGTGTGGTAGGTAAGTTTGGGGTGCCCGGTGTAAATGATAATGGGAGCCCTTTGATTGAACTTTGTATAGAAAGGGGTTTAGTTTTAGGTAATACAATTTTAAGAAAAAGAGGATAAATAAGTATACCCGATATGATGTAGGGCGAAATGACAGTAGTTTGTTGGATTTTGTATTGGTAGATAAAAGACTGTTGAGTAGACTTCAGGATGTACATGTTTATAGAGGGGCCACAGATTATCAGATCACTTTCTAGTTGTAGCTACACTGAGAGTAAAAGGTAGATGGGATACAAGGAGAATAGAAGCATCAGGGAAGAGAGAGGTGAAGGTTTTTTAAACTAAAAGAGGAGGCAGTTAGGGTAAGATATAAACAGCTATTGGAGGATAGATGGGCTAATGAGAGCATAGGCAATGGGGTCGAAGAGGGGATGGGGTAGGGTTTTTAAAAATGTAGTGTTAGAGTGTTCAGCAGAAGTTTGTGGTTACAGGAAGTGGGTGCAGGAGGGAAGAGGAGCGATTGGTGGAATGATGATGTAAAGAGAGTAGTAAGGGGGAAAAAGTTAGCATATGAAAGTTTTTACAAAGTGAAGTGATGCAAGGAGGGAAGAGTATATGGAGAAAAAGAGAGAAGTTAAGAGTGTGGTGAAGCAATGTAAAAAGAGAGCAAATGAGAGAGTGGGTGAGATGTTATCAACAAATTTTGTTGAAAATAAGAAAAAGTTTTGGAGTGAGATTAACAAGTTAAGAAAGCCTAGAGAACAAATGGATTTGTCATTTTTAAAAAATAGGAGAGGAGAGTTATTAAATGGAGAGTTAGAGGTATTGGAAGAGGGAAAAGGAATATT